CGAAAAAAAATCATGGTGTAGTTCCGAATAAAAATATTTAAATACATGTGTCAAAAAAAAATCATACAGACACCATATCTTTAGAAATCAGTAAGAGCTCAATAAACATAATACCTTTGGTACCAGATTACCATAACATACATATCGTATCTTTAAATTTTCATAAGCATAATAATTCAACAACATGAAATAAATAATTTAAACGGGATAAAAGCAACAACACCTCGTTTGATCAAATGAATTTTTGGAAAAATAAAACCAAAATCACGTTCTAATTTTTTTTTAGCCTGTTGCTGTATTCGTAAAAATTATATGGTATAGTGAAAGGGAATCTGACTTTTTCTTTGTGGGAAATAGTTATACATATATATATATATATATAACTATAGAAAGCAGAAATTCAATCTACCCAAAATTTCTATCCAATTCAAATAAAATAACCCATTTTAATTCAATCTCAACAACCCCACGTGGCGACCACTTCCACAAAACAAACAAAAGTAATAAAATAATAATTATTGACAACTTAGTTAAACTTTAATAACTTAGGTTTCATGTATTTGAATTAACTTTTTCTCAAGCCTTTTATACATGATTAATTACGAGCTATTCAACGAGCCCCATATTGATATATTAAATATCGCTCTTAACAAAATTTGATTATTTGGCTAGAATAAAATTGAATTTAATATATTGCACTTTTGCCCATCAGCTTTCAAAAATATAAAAATATAGCATAAAATACAAATAAAATTTTCTATAAATTTTCAGGGTGTTACAATCTCCCCTTCTTAAAAGAATTTTGTCCTCGAAATTTTATTTGGCTAATCAAGGAGTTTTAGATACTTAGGCTTAAACTCCTCATTTGAAGAAAAAATAATATCATCCATGTCAATCTTCTATGTATTACAACACAATTCTATTATGGCCAGCATATCATGCTGATATTCCTATTATGGTGACAAAACGTACTCCATGCTCGCATATACTAGTAAAGGAATCATGTGTTTACTTGAAATATAAATCAAAAATTTAGCGGGAGAAATGTGCATGTCATCAAATCTGTGAGGCAAATTGAAAATGTAAAGTTACACAAAATATTTGAATAGGTATTTATTTCCTTCCTCATTACATACCTTAGAGTCATCAGATGGTAACTGATTGGTGGCCATTGATTACCAATGTCTTTCATATTTTTATATATTTAAGAACATTTTAAAAAAAAATTATCATATATAAAATTTATATTTCTTAAAAGATATTAATTATCAACAAATATCATGAAAATTTAAGGCAAAGCATGTAATCATTTATTATACATAACAACTAAAATTAATATAACGATTTTTTTTTAGGTATTTTCACACTGTTCACGTAACTTCAATTTGTTTTCAAAGTTATGTTAAGGATAAAATGGGAATTTATTTTTTTAACATTGGGACTACATCGTAATTTCAGCACTAGAAAATATGGACTATATTGAAAACCCATATCAAGGAAAAAAGAAAAATGAATTCACAACCGGGCTTGTCACATATGTGGGTGCAATGCCAGATTTATCTTATTTGATTGAAGCCACATTGACAGAGGATGAGGCACATATGCTTTGTGCTTTAGTGACTGAGATGGAAGTAAAGGAGGCTACGTTAGCAATTCCCATAGATAGCTCACCTGGGCAGATGGGTTTGGATCTGGGTTCTTTATGAAATGTCGGGATATCATTAAAGATGATGTGACTTCAGCTATACAAGAATTTTTTGAAGGTAGAGACCTTCTTCGTTTCTATACATCTTCTTATATTATTCTCATTCCAAAGGTGGAGGAACCAACGGGATTCGACAAATTCAGATCTATAAGTTTATGTTCTGTTGCCTATAAGATATTTCAAAAATCTTAGTGACTCATATGGCTGCTATAATGCCATTAATTATCTCGCCCGAGCAAGGGGCTTTCATTGCTGGTAGAAGTATTTTTGAGAACATATCTTTGACTCAGGAGCTAGTGCAGTCTATGAATTAAAAAAGTGAGAAGGGGAAATGTGGCAGTTAAAGTGGACATGGCTAAAGTGACAGGGTGGATTGGCGGTTTTTGCAACATGTGCTACAGGTATTTGGGTTCCCGAAAGGATTTTGTTGATTGGTAGATCAATGCATAATGACCCCTTAGTACTCAATAATGATGAATAGTACTACTCAAGGTTTTTTCAAGTCTACACGTGGATTATGGCAGGGAAATCCACTTTCTCCTTATCTTTTCATCATTATGCAAGAGGTTCTGACAATGTTATTAAAAAAGAGTTTTGGTGATGGACGTATTGGTAGTTTTTCGAATCCCCGAGATGGACTTTTGATCTCTCACCTTATGTATGCAGATGATCTTGTGATATTCACTAATGGATGTAAAAAATATTTAAAAGGTTTCATGGAGGTGTTAGCGGTGTATGAAGATTGGTTTGGACAACAGATTAATTAGGATAAATTGGCAAAAAAAAATTCTCTAGAACCTGCTCTTTGGTGCAAACGGGTGATATTCCACTGGTGACTGTCAAAGAAGGGCATTTTCCTATGACTTATTTGGGGGTGCCAGTGGTGCAAGGAAGATTGAATGCTAGACATTTAGTGATGTGGCCCGGGGTAGGCCACAAATTGTCCAAGAATAGTTGGTTGATGACGAGGGATCGAGACCACGATTGGAGCTAAATTGGAGGCCAAATGAAGGTAATAAAGGTGGCCAAATACATGTTCAGGCTATGAAATTAATGGGGGATGAAAATGTCAATAACCCAAGTTACGTTGAAGAGAGTTTAACAGCAAGTTTGGACTTCAAAGAGTTAACAAAGCCATAGCAAAGGTGGCTGGGAAGATTAAAGGAAGCAGGCTGCAGAATTTAATTAACCATAGTCACATGCATGCAATGGGGGTTGTGTGTGTGTGTGTATATATATATATAGGTTAATTTCACAAACGGTCACTGAACTTAACCAAAAATTACAAAACGGTCACTAAAGTTTAAAATTTTCATAAACGGTCACTTAAATTTCAGGCAGTTTCACTAAAGGTCACTGAAGTTTTTAAAACTTTGACAAATCGTTACTTCAGGTACCAAAATGATTCTAATTCAAACTAAAGGACCGAAATATGTGACCATAAAAATTTCAGAGGACCTCAGGTGCAAATTTTTTTCCTCCCATTTTCCTTCTCCCTTCAATTTTCGGTGGCACTTCAAGCATTTGACCCCAAAATTTGACAAACTGGTGATATAATTTCTGCAATTGAAAGGTTACCCAGTGTTGTTTGATGATGAATTTTAGTTTCCCCATGTTTATTTATAGGTTGATCAGATTTGAGTGCTCAATTGAAATCGTTTCGATAGCCGTTCGCGCGTAGAAGGTGCATGAACAGAAATTGGCTGATTCGAAATAAATTGGTGACGACCCATATGTGCATCTTGTTCGACATGATGAGTAGAAGGTAATGTTGGTTGTTTTCGGCCGTAATTGTTGATGCCGGTGCCTGAAATTGGAGAGGAAAGTTCGTTGCTAGCTGCCTTCAAACTGGTATCATTTAGATTTTGATTTAAATTGTTTTGTGATGGTATGGGACCATGTACATGTTCGTCTTGTGGAGTACTAATAGCCTGTGATGGATTTTTGTTATGGGTGGTGGTAGGTTGGCCGGAATTGGAGGAAAACCGTGCGTGATTACAATTTTTTAGAACCTGAATTTCATTTCATTTTTTATGTGTTTTGGTTGATTATTGGTATAGAATTGTGGAGGGTGATGAGGAGGTGTTTGTGGTGTAAAAATCCAGTGGTTTATTCGGCGGTGGGGTGCTTGATTTTGGCCTTGAATCCACTGGCGCCGGAGAAGGAGAATGAATATGGAAGTGGAAGGAAAAATTTTTGCACCTGAGGTCCTCTAAAATTTGTATGTTCACGTATTTCGGTCCTTAAGTTTGAATTAGAATCATTTTGGTAGCTGAAGTGACCATTTGTGAAAGTTTTAAAAACTTCAGTGATTATTAGTGAAACCGCCTAAAATTTAAGTGATCGTTTGTGAAATTAACTCCTTATCATATGTATGTGTGTATGTATGTATGTGTATATATATATACACATATGTATGTATGTAAACGTATATATGTATGTATGTATATGTATATGCATGCATGCATGTATGTATGTATGTATGTATGTATGTATATGTATGTATGTACATATATATATGTGTATATGTATGTGTGTGTGTGTGTATATAGTGTGTGTGCGTATGTATGTATATGTATGTATTTATATGTATGTATGTATGTATGTATGTATGTATATGTATGTATGTATGTGTATATATATGTATGTATGTATGTATATACACACACAACCACAGAAAGGCAGCAGCTTTGAAGGGAATCGGTTTATGTGCTGGGACTAGGAAACAAAAATCAGCTGGAATAGTCACAATTTCATGGCCTCAAGCTCTCTAATTCATCCCCTGTTTCAATCCCATCTTCTTCTTATGTGAAGGGTTCATTTGTTTTCCAAGAAATTGAGGAGGAGAGAGAAAAACGACTTGGGCGATTTCACAAAACCCGTCAGGGCTCGAAGCTGAATCTCGTCTACAGACGGGATTACCATGACTACCCTCCTGCCGGTGCAACCAGTACCGGCAGGGCTTTCCGATGAGCATCAGGGTGGAGTCACAATAGGTGGGTTTCCAACTGGAGTGCAACACAGCAGATCGTATTCAGAGGTTGTCAAGCCGCGTGAGAAAACTAGGATTAATCAGACGGTGATAAAAATGGATTTGGCCATCACGATGCGAGGTCCAAAATTGATTAACGGTGATCTTGGATTTATGTTTACAAATGTGGAAGAGAAGACCCTATCTGAGGACTTACGGTTTGTTTTGGTGTTGAAATTCCTCACGGTGAGGCCAAACATTGATGAAGTTTGACGAACTATTAACAAGGCTTGGGGTCTTCAAGTGATTCCAGTAATTAGCTACATGGATGCCTCACATGTGCTGATTCAATTGAAGAATGAGATAGATTACTTGCATGTGTGGACAAGAGAGGGTCGATCCTTGGCTGGGGCGACATTTCGTCTCTTCAAATGGTCGGCGGAGTTTGATCTCAATAGAGAATCTTCTATTACTGCACAGTGGATCTTTTTGCCAAGTTTGCCGATGCATATGCATAGACCAGATTGCTTAAGATTATTGCCGACTCAATTTGGAAGATACTTGGGGACTGATCGTGCAACATTGAATCGATCTCGGGCCACAAGGGCTAGAATGTTTATTGAAGTAGATTTGCTTGCAGAACCAGTCAGGAGTTTTCTTATTGTTAATTCACCGAAGACATTTTGGCAAGAGGTTCGGTATGAGAAGCCAGGTTTCTATTGTATCAAATGTGGTCGACAAGGTCATCCTGAATCTGTGTCTCGGGTTGGACAGAGCCGTGTGCTCCTTCAAAAAGTGATGGAGAGACAGGAATGGCGCAAGAAAGAGGGGCAGGATATGGCGAAAAATAAAGATAAGGTGGATGAAATAATTGGGCAACTGGAGATTACTCGAATTGAGAAGGGAGAATCATCGGTGGGGACCGGTAAATTTGTCAAGGAGAGTGAGAGTTTGTGTGATGCTATAGTGAGGTTTAAGGAGGCTGACCCCTTGGTGAATACGAGAGATAGTGGTTTGATTGGGGTAGAGAAAGCTCAAATTGGAGAGAGGGAGGTTGTACTATTGGAGGCTAAAATAAGTGAGGATTTGACTATGAAAGACGATTCAACACATGTTGATATAGGTGTAGGAAAGGAAGCTCCATCCAGCATTGACATTGTGAAGGACTTTTCCAAAGTGGTTGATGAAGATTTGGAGGTTGTAAATGACGAGATAGCAGTAGGGAATGAGGGGTATCCTATTGATGGTGATGATGTGACTGTGCAAGATGGTAGAGAAGAACAACAGCAGCATCCTATCCATCACGAGTTTGATTGTGAAAAGGAAACAAGGGGATGCAAAGGGAAGAAAGACCCCGACTATTGGTCTGATTCAGAGGTCCATAAACAATATATTGAAGGACAGAAGACTATTCCCCAGGTTACTAGAGCATCACAGAGGGCGCAAGCACGCCCTACAAAACTTGACTTATGATTGATCAACTATTAGTATGGAAAGTGCGAGGGGTGGGCACGTCAAAAGGAAGGATAGGAAAGTTAGTGAGAAAACTCAATGTGGAAATACTAGGGATTGCGAAACCTTTTCTTGGGGAAGAAAAAATGAAGCTTTTGGCTTGTAAAATAAAGTTGCCAAACTTTATATCAAATGAGAAAACAAGAGGTAAATTATGGATTTTTTGGAGTGAAGATTACAAGGTTGACTGGGTTCATTTCTCGGATCAAGCTTTACATGGAGTTTTCATGAAGGGAGAATATAAGATGTTAGTGTCGTTCATTTATGCGAAATGTAATGCTTTGGAAAGGAGGAAACTTTGGCAGGAGTTGGAGAATGTTAGGGTGAGTGGCCTTCCTTGGGTAGTCTCTAGCGATTTCAATATCATTAGAAATGACTTTGAGCGAGTGGGTGGCCACCCTAGACCTCTTCAGGCTATGGAAGATTTTAATGAGTGCATTGACAAGTGTTGTCTCTTGGAAGTACCAGTTCTAGGTAGAAAATTATCTTGGTGCAATGGACATGAGGGTTTGACTAGAAAGTTGGGCGCGGCTAGACAGAACACTGGTAAATGAGGAGGTGTTACATGACTTCTCGGAAGCAAGTATGAAGTACATGTCAGGAACATCTTCTGATCATCGCCCTATGACTATTAACTTGCAAAAGAAGTATGCTTTGTATGGCCCGACTCCATTTCGATTCCAACGAATGTGGTGTGAGCATGAGGGTTTTTTACCACTTGTGGAGGCAGCATGGAGATTGGGAGAGAGTGGTTTGATGTTGGGTGGCTTAGAAAAAGTAATGGCTAAACTGAAGGCTACTAAAAAAGCTTTGAAATTGTGGAATAAAGAGCTTTTTGGGAGGGTTGATAATGTTATTTTGGAATTAGAAGAACGTGTGGGGGCTCTCGATAGTAGGTTACAAGCTGCATTTTCTAATGAGGCAGAACAAGAATACTTGAGTTCTAAAATGGAATTGGAGGAATGGCAAAGAAGAGAGGAAATTAGATTATCCCAACTGGCAAAAAAGAAATGGTTGTCTGACAGTGATAACAATTCAAAATTTTATCATGCTGTAGTCTCGCAAAGACGAAGAAAATCAAAGTTAAATCAGATGAAGCTTACAGACGGCACTATCATGTCGACTCCGCAACAAATACATGCAGAAGCTGTGAAATATCTTCAGATTGTTCTTACGAGTGAGGAAAGCGAAATTGTGCCAGATTTATCTTTGCTCTGTTGTGTACAAAATATTTTCGAAGATTTTGGTGCAGAGAATGAGTGTTATACTTTCTAGGATTATTTCTCAAGAGCAAGGAGCCTTCATCCCAGGTCGAAGTATTTTCGAGAACATTACACTCACTCAAGAATTAGTGAACTCTTTGAATAAAAAGGTTCGCGGTGGAAATGTGATGATTAAAGTAGATATGGCTAAAGCATATGATAGGGTGGAGTGGCATTTCTTACTTCATGTTTTATCATCCTTTGGGTTCCCGATGATGTTTTGTAAGTTAATTGAACAATGTATATCCACACCATGGTTCTCAGTGATGATGAATGGAACCATGCAAGGTTTTTTTAAATCAACGCGTGCTCTTCGTCAAGGAGATCCTTTATCCCCTTATTTGTTTATTATCATACAAGAGGTGTTGACTAGACTGCTGAAGAGGGGTTTTGAGGAAGGACAGATTGGGTGCTTCTCACACCCTAGGGGCACGACTGCGATAACTCATTTGATGTATGCTGATGATTTAATCATTTTTGCCAATGGAAGGAAAAGGTCTATCAGAGAGCTCAGGAAGGTTCTAGTTTTAAGGAGGGTCAATTTCTAGTTATCTACTTGGGTGTTCCAGTGGTCCAGGGTCGTTTAACTGCCCGCCATCTTGAGCCCTTGGTGGAGAAAATCAGAAAGAAAATTGCAGGTTGGAAGCTTCAATTGCTGTCGCAAGGGGATAGATTGGTCTTACTTCGTCATGTTCTCACGTGTATCGCTACACATTTGTTGTTTGTGTTAAATGTTCCAAAATCTATATTTAAGAGACTCAATTCCATCCTCTCATCTTTCTTTTGTGGTGAGGTTTGGAAGGACTAGGAAGAAATGGTGTTCTTGAGATAAACTTTGTAAACCGATGGTGGAGGGGGATCAGAGTTAGGAAATTTGAAGATGTCCAGCGTACCCTACAGATGAAGTTTGCATGGAAATTACTGTCATCAGATTGCTTATGGGCAACCTTTTTTCGGGCAAAATATATGAAGCATGGATTGATTGATGTCTCCAATATACGCTGTATAGGCTCTCGATTCTGGTGCTCTATTGTGGGATGCATCCCTGATGTGATTAATAGAAATCAATGGCGGATTAGGGAGGGTTCCATCTCGTTCTGGTATGCTCATTGGTTAGATGATGGCCCTTTGTCATGGGACGCATCACATATTGATCAACCAACTCTTAGAATCAACGATATTTGCTTGGATAGTGGTTGGAATATGAATCAATTACTGCAACTTGTAGGGGAAGACAAAGCCGCCAGTGTTATGGCTAAGGTGAGTAAATGTAGAGAGGGGGATGATGTTCTTATTTGGAAACCGAATAGAAAAGGAACATTCTCTTCCAAGAGTGCATGGGACATGATTAGAGTTCAACAGCCCCAAACCTCTTGGGGTAGATGGGTATGGCATTCTGCACTCCCAAAAAGAATGTCAGTGATAATGTGGAAGGCTTTTTCTAAAGCTTTAAGTGTTGATAGTAGAGTTCGGCAAATGGGTGTAGCCTTAGCTTCTCGTTGTGATTGCTGCCTTACAGGAAATGAAGAAATACCCAACCATGTTCTTAGTACAGGTGAGATGGCAAACGAAGTTTGGAGGAAAGGTTCAGTGGCTTTGGGCATTCGGTGGAGATCTAAACAAAACTGGTATGATAGAGTAAATTTATGGTGGGCCATTACAGGTTAAAAATCACAAGTTGGGTACTTACAAGGGTTACTTCCAACTATACTGACGTGGAGGCTATAGATGAGACGTTGTAAAGCGAGAATGGAAGGTGTTCATGAAATTGTGGAGCAGATTTTTCGTTCCATTAAATTTTGGCTGCAACATGTGTCATCCAATTTGAAAAAAGAACGAGTTCTCTCGCGGTCAAAAGAATTACTTCTTAGAAACTAAATGGAGAATCAGGAGAGACCTCTTCGGATTGTTAAATGGGCTAAACCAGTGGCGAGCAGAGTAAAACTAAATGTAGATGGAAGCTGTCTAGGCAACCCAAGTATGGCTGGTGGTGGTGGGGTTGTAAGGGATGAAACGGGCAGGCTGATATCAGTTTTCTCCTCTTTCTTTGGATATGGCACTAACAATGAGGCAGAGTTGAGAGCGCTTACTGATGGACTGACCTTGTGTCATGATTTGGGATTATATCAAGTGGATATTGAATGTGATTCATTGTTAGTGGTTTCTTGGATTCTGACAAGAAAATGTTCGTTATGGTACTTGTGGGATTTTTGGGAAGTTCTCATAGACCTTATCAAGAAGTTTGACTTTCACATCATGCATCAGTATAGAGAAGCTAATCAGGTTGCGGATGAATTGGTGAAGTTAGGTGCTAAGGGGAAGACAGAACGGTTCTTATCATGTACGGAACTACTAAGGTTTTGTCGAGGCTTGATCTGTCTAGACAAGATGGGTGCGGTGTATATTCGTCAGAAAAGATAGGCTTTTTTTCCGTTGTTAGATTACATTGATAGGAGTTTGAGATTATTGGTTATTTTTTATTGATTGATCGGTTATTATTACAGTTTTTCTTCGCCTTAAGTGAGGGTTGGTATGAATAAATGCCTGATGAGCTTATAAAAAAAAATCAGCTGGAACAAATGGTGTCAACCAATGGAAATGACATGCTGGGAATGGAAGACAAAACATGAGGGACCAACTTGTGTTAGCCAATGGAAGAGGAAGCAAAGTAGATTAGAATAAATTGAAATGAAAAAGAGACAAAAAGGCTGAAATGTATACTTCCGCGACCGTACCACCTGAATCAACATGCGGTCGCACGAGTTGGGGCAGAACTTTGTCTCGCTAATATCACTGGAACCATGCGATTGCATTTCGACACTCCATGCGGTCGTACAGTTATTCCAATGGCAGAATTTCAGATTTTTCTCGCCAGTTTTTAGATTTAATAAGAAATCTTATCTTTTGATACCTTGCCATAATTTAGGACGTGTTTTATTCCTTTCAAATTGGGTTTGAGTGTTTTAATTCCTTTTTAATTCTTCCTAGGGTTTTAGTATAAATAGTTCTTTATTTTCCACATTGTAATAAGACTTTTCATAATGAATTATTGAATGGAGAATTTTCTCTTTCGAGGAGAGATGCTTCAAACCTTCGAACTTATCAAGATCTAAAACATCATGTGGCGTTTAAATTTATCGGGTGTGATTTCAAAATCTTGTAATTAAGAGGTCATAAGTTTAATACACCTTTGGTTGCTTAATTCAATTATTTTGGAATTCAAATCCGCAAATCCGAAGGATATTTCAAGATTGTGTGATTAAGAGGTCATTTGTTTCATATACATTCGGTTGCTTGGTTCACTTTGGTGGGTCGATTCCTAAACCTTGATAATTATTTGGGCGTTCTTGGGATTCGATGTCAATTCCTGTGGGTTCGATTCAACCTTGTTAACCGGGTTCACATCATTTGGTATCAGAGCTTAGGCACCAAGATCAAGGTTATATCCAGTTTTTATTTTATTGAGTTTTTTGTTCATTTATTTTATTTTCGTGGTGATGTTTCCTTGTTTGTTGAGTCTTTGATTCATCGTCAAGTTTTCGAAAAAAAACACTGCTCATTCCGTATGGTACTATTCATCTGTACTGTTTTATCAAAAAAAAAAAGAGTCAAGAAGAAAGAATGAAAAAAAGTTAGAAAAAGAGTAAAAAAGAGTCAGAAAAAAGGAGTCAAAAAAAGGGTCAAGTCAATATCAATTCAACATGCCAGAAAAGGTGTGAGGCGAGTTGAAAAGATGTTGGATGTAACGACCTAGGCCTCTTACCCAAGTCATTAGCTTCCGTACTGTCCATTTTGGATGGACCTTGGGCCCACTTATCCCTCACAGCTTTCTGCCACGTCTCCCAAGATTCAAACTCTTGACCTTCTCTTAAGTAAGACATAAGTTGAATACTGATACCAATTGGACAACTAGCCCAATTAAGGAGATCTGCATTGTCCAGTGATTACATTACCTATTTATTAGATACTGATTTTGATATTAGGCATATTTTTGATCTTGTTATTTATAGTCAAGCATTGACAAGTGCTGAATCAAATAAATGGATAAATACTATGGAAGATGAAATGAACTCTATGGAACAGAATAACGTTTACGAATTTGTAGAACTCCCTTCGGAAACTAAAGCTATAGATAACATGCGGATCTTGAAAAGTAAATTGAATTTGAAAGGAAATGTTGAATGAAAGAAGGCAAGATTGGTTGCAAAAAGGGTTCACTTAGTGAGAGGACATTCACTATAGTGAAACCTTCTCATCTGTTTTCATCCAAAGATTCTTTTAGAATTATCATAGCACTTGTAACACACTATAATTTTGAGTTTCATCCTATGGATGTTAAGACAACCTTTTCGAATGGAGATTTTTCTGAAAATGTTTACACGAGACAACATGAAGGTTTTATTGTGAATGGAAGAGAAAATTTGGTATGTAAGTTAACAAATCCTTATATGGCATCAAAAAAGTATCATGATCGTGGTATATAAAGTTTGACAAGTTTGTGACTTCTCTTAGTTTTGTTGAAAATACAGTTGATCAATGTATTTATCTAAAATATAGTAGGAGAAATTTTATTTTTTTTGTCCTATATGTTGATGATATTTTACTTTCTAGCAACAACTTGGGGTTGCTTTACGTGACAAAGAAAATGTTATATGCTAATTTTGAGATGAAAGATTTTGAAGAATCTTCTTATGTGCTTGGCATTAAAATACATCATGATAGAAATCGTGGCTTATTAAAACTTTCTCAAAAGGCTTATATACGACGTGTTCTAGAAAGGTCCAATATGCAGAACTGTGCACCTAACGATGTAATCATCATAAAAGGGGATAAGTTTAACAAGGCTCAATGTCCAAGAAATGAGCTAGAAAGGAAATCTATGAAGATGATACCATTCGCTAGTGATGTGGGAAGTTTGATGTATGTTCAAGTTTGCACTAGACAGAATATAGCCTATGCGGTTAGTGTTCTTAGTACGTTTCAGACGAATCCAAGGCAATAACATTGGAAAGTAGCTAAAAAAGTTCTAAGGTATTTGAAGAAAACTAAAGGTTATATGCTTGCATTCCAATTTTCAAGACTACTCAGATTTTGGTTTTGCTGGATGTTAAGATGATTTGGAATGAACATCAGGTTATATATTCATGTTTGTTGGTGGTGCTATCTCTTGAAAAAGTGTTAAACAAACTCTAACGGCATCTTCTACCATGCAAGCTAGATTTGTGACATGTTATGGGGCTATCGTCGAAGCCGTTTGGTTAAGAAATTTCGTTTCTAGGTTGAATGTTGTTGATTCCATCTCGAGACCAATCACTATTTATTGTGATAATAGCACAACAATGTTCTTTTCAAGGAGTATTAAAAGTTCTGGTGGGTCAAAACACATTGACATCAAATATTTGTTATTTAGAGATAGAGTTGAGGAAGGGCAGATGAAAATAACGCATATCAATACAGAGGCAATGATTGCATATCCTTTGACTAAGGGACTTGTTCCAAAAAAATTTAAAACACATGTTGCTAATATAGGTATTGTGGAACCTTTGACGTTCTAGGTTAGCGGGAGTTGCTTACATGAAAGAACTACATTTTGGCTTGATCCCTTTATGAGGTACGCAGGCAACCCATATATTTTTCGGGTATGGCCCCTTCCAATAATAAAATAAGTTTTTCCCTATCCATGAATTATTTTGAGCATGCATTTGACTTATGTCTTTTTAATTATGATGTTATTATGATCTCGAGATATAACTGATAAAGATAAAAGATGAGTCTTTTTTAAAGACATGTGGCTTCATTTTTTATTTGAAGCATTATGAGGATCAATATAAACTAGCACAATTTTTTTATCACATTTGGTGCTAAGTTCATGTCCCATACTACCACATTGGTTGGAGGATAGGAATCCATGTCGATAAGGATGTTAGCATTTGTAGTTGTGGAGTGGTCTTACATCATTTATATGGTATAACAACTTCCATGTTCGATTTCGATATTCTTGTTTGACCAGATCATGTTACATAAGGTGTTATCATTGGAGCTATACTTTTGTAGCCACTTATGTAGTCTAACCCGAAAGTCAAAAGTTTGTTTTATAACAATCAAATGTTTGTCCAAGTTGGAGAATGTTAGAATAATTCTAAATATAGGCTTCCCATTTGATTGTAAATTTTACGGGTTAGATGTATGGTTCATAATAATACTATGATTAACCCCAATATGTTAAGTGATCACTTGGATTGTTTTATACCTTATGGGTTATATTTTATTTGATGTGGTAATTTTAAGTATGTGAACCGGAAATATATGTAAACCTTAATTAGGATTGGAGTCATTAATGGAATGACTCAATAAATTCCTATATAAAGGCTAGGTCTCATATCCTCTCCATATTGTTTTATTGGCCTGCCCCATTGACGGCTAATACTTTGTGAGGAGCAATGAGAGAAAGATCTAACTGTTAATATTCATATCCACAATGTCTTCCTCGGGTATGAATTTGAAGTATCAATTTATTATTTTGTGATTCGTGTTTCTTAGCATGATTGTCATTATAATCAACAAAATTTCACCTGACAATTTATCCTTGTACAGATCATGATAAAATCGATTCAAATGTTCAACAACTTGCTTAAGTTTGTAAAGTTATCTTGTTTACTTTGACCTCC